AAAAAAAAAAAAAGACTCCAGCAAGCACTCCAGCAAAAAGCAGGCGGGGAATGTGGAAGTACTTCATCAGTGTCGCAAATGGACGATGAAAGCGGCAGCTCCCCTGGCGGCTAGAAAAAGTTAAATAGCCTCTGTCTATGTTGTATGTCAAAATTGGCATTGAATGTTTGCCATATAAGTGTACACTGTAATCCGCCCTGAGTCCCCTGCGGGGTGAGAAGGGCGGAATATAAATACTGTAAATAAATAAATAAATAATAAAGAATTAAATATTTTATAATGAAAATATTAAAATATGTTTAAATTAAACAAATATTTTAAGCTTAAAATATCTAAATGAAGTATTCAAAAGTTAAATATTTTAAATGAAAATAATTAAATATTTTAAAATTAAATAAGTATTTTATAATTAACATGTTATCAAAAATATTTTGAAAGGGTTATATAAATTTATAGATATATATTGCCAATTATTGCATAGCTGTAAGGATTCATTCGGCCAGTTCAATTTTTTGTAGTTCTTTGGGATAGATTTTTATGTGTCATATCATTTACTTAAAGCAGTGTTTCTCAACCTGGGGGTTGGAACCTCTGGGGGGGGGGGGGGTTGTGAGGAGACGTCAAAGGGGTCACCAAAGACCATCAGAAAACATAGTATTTTGTGTTGGGATTCTGTGTGGGAAGTTTGACCCAATTCTATTGTTGGTTGAGTTCAGAATGCTCTTTGATTGTAGGTGAACTATAAATCCCAGCAACTACAACTCCCAAATGTCAAGGTCTATTTTTCCCCAGACTCCATCAGTGTTCACATTTGGGCATATTGAGTATTTGTGCCAAGTTTGGTTCAGATCCATCATTGCGTGAATCCACAGCGCTCCTCTGGATATAGGTGAACTACAACTCCCAAATTCAAGGTCAATGCCCACCAAACCCTTCCAGTGTTTTCTGTTCTTCATGGGAGCTTTGTGTGCCACGTTCGGTTCAAATCCATCTGTGGTGGAGAATGCTCCTTGATTATAGGAGAACTATAAATCCCAACAACAACAACTCCCAAATTACAAAATCAATCCTCCCACAACCCCACTAGCATCCACATTTGGGCATATTGGGTATTTGTGCTCAATTTGGTCCAGTGAATGAAAATACATCCTGCATATCGGATATTTACATTACGATTTATAACAGTAGTAAAATGACAGGTATCAAGTAGCAACGAAAACAATAGTATGGTTGGGGGTCACCACAACATATGGAACTGCATTAAGGGGTCACGGCATTAGCAAGGTTGAGAACCACTGACTTAAAGCCTATTAGAGTGGATTATTATTATTATTATTATTATTATTATTATTATTATGCTATTTGATCCTATATGTTTGGGATGCTATATTTGTAGAATGAATGGTGTCTTCCTGCCTGGAAGAATGGGGTTAGAATTGGATGGCCATCTGTTGGGAGGGCTTGAATGGGGTCTTCCTGCCTGACATGAATAGGGGGTTCTGTATTCTGAGCCTGGGTTATCAATGGATCTGCTCTGAGCTTGATTGCTTTTGCTTCCACAGAGTTTCCTTTCTCCCGAATCCATCCCATCGGCAGTAATTAGTCGGGTCTGGAGAGATATTTTAAGGCAGGCCTGCGGGGATGAGGGCTTTTCCTCCAGCTCCTGAACAGAGAGCCTCTGTGGAAGCCTGCTGGCCATGCACATGCACCCCTTCCCTCCTCCCTCCCTCCTGAGGCTTAAGTTGGACGTCTTTCTGAGGGGGGAGGGGGGAGGGAGGGGAAGTGTTTTTTGGGGTTTTTGTGAGTGGAGAACATAGCTTGCTTGAGATAGTGTCTAGTGTCCAAATTTGGTCTCAATTCCCCCAGTGGTTTTTGAGTTCTGATGGTATCACAAACTGACATTACATTTTTATTTATATACTAGCTGTCCCCTGCCACGCGTTGCTGTGGCCCAGTCTGGTGATCTGGAAAATAAAGTAATGAGAAAGTGTTGGTTTCTAATATATGTAATTCCTTTATGCCTGTGAGTAAACAGTATTTCTTGTTTCTATGTCAGTGTTTATGTGGAGAGTGTCTGGTTTGGCTGCTCTGGAATATGCAACATATCATAGTCCTTCTTTAAGGGTTTCTTTCAAATCTATGATACTATATAACTACAACTCCCAAACTCAAGGTCAATGCCCACCAAACCCTTCCAGTGTGTTCTGTTGGTCATGGGAGCCCTGTGTGCTAAGTTTATTTATTTATTTATTTATTTATTTACTTCACTTGTATACCACTCTTCTCAGCCCTCAGGCGACTCAGAGCGGTTAACAACCAATTCAACAGTACAAAACAGATCATTAGTCAATTAAAACAGCAATATCAATTAATTAACATCAAAACATCAATACAACAATAAACAAAATAACAATCCATCACGTCTCATCAATAGAATCAGCATCCACTCTCATTGTCCATTAATCCATATTCCAATAGTCAATCAATTGCACTGCTTAGTTGAAAGCCTGTTCGGAGAGCCAGGTCTTCACTCTCTTCCGGAATGCCAATAGGGAGGGGGCCGATCTGATGTCTGTAGGAAGGGCGTTCCACAGCCCAGGGGCCACTACTGAGAAGGCCCTGTCTCTTGTCCCCGCCAGGCATGCTTGTGAGGCCGGCAGGACTGAGAGCAGGGCCTCCCCAGACGATCTTAACGTCCTAACTGGTTCATAGGAGGAGATGCGTTCGGACAAATAGGTCAGGCCAGAACCGTTTAGGGCTTTAAAGGCTAAAGCCAGCACTTTGAATTGTGCCCGGTAGCAAATTGGCAGCCAGTGGAGCTGGCGCAACAGAGGAGTTGTATGCTCCCTGAGTGCCGCTCCTGTTAGCAATCTGGCTGCCGATCGTTGGACCATTTGAAGCTTCCGAGCAGTCTTCAGAGGCAACCCCATGTAGAGAGCGTTGCAGTAGTCTATACGGGATGTAACTAGAGCGTGGACTACCGTGGCCAAGTCAGACTTCTCAAGGTACGGGCGCAGCTGGCGCACAAGTTTTAACTGTGTGAATGCTCCCCTGGTCACAGCCGAAACCTGGAGATCCAGGCTCAGTGATGAATCCAGGATCACACCCAAGCTGTGAACCTGCGTCTTCAGGGGGAGTGTGACCCTGCCCAACGCTGTAACCCTATGCCCTAAGTTTGGCCCAATTCCATCATTGGTGGAGTTCAGAATGCTCTTTGATTGTAGGTAAACTATAAATCCCAGCAAGGACAATTCCTAAGTGACAAAATCAATTTTTTTTTTGAGTGGAGGACATAAATTGGACTGTTAGGTATCTTGTGTCCAAATTTGGTGTCAATTCTCCCAGTGGTTTTTGAGTTCTGATGGTAGTGTGAACTAACATTACATTTTTATTTATATAGATATAGATTATTATTCAAAGTGGATAATCTGGATTGGATAAAGCCGTGTAGAAGGGGCCTAGATTGCCGTAGAATCCAGCTCAAAGCAGACAATCAGGGATGAGAAACAGGATTAGATGATGGTGTAGACATCTACATGAAACCGCTGGGAGAGGTCATCCGGAGTTTTGGAGTTGGGTGCCATCTCTACGCAGATGACACACAACTCTACTACTCTTTTCCACCTAATTCCAAGGACTGGTGTCTGACAGCTGTGATGGCGCTGTGTCATCTGGATGAGGAGAAAAAGCTGAAGATCAATTCCGACAAGACAGAGGTCCTCCTGGTCGATCGCAAACCAGACGGGGTATAGGGTGGCAACCTGTGCTGGACGGGGTTACACTCCCCCTGAAGCCACAGGTCCGTAGTTTGGGAGTCCTCTTGGACTCATCGCTCACGCTTGAGGCTCAGGCGTCGGCGGTGTCCGGGAGGGCTTTTGCACAACTGAGACTTGTGCGCCAGCTGCGACCGTACCTCGCAAAGGCTGATCTGGCCGGGGGGTCCATGCCTTGGTCACCTCTAGATTGGATTACTGCAATGCGCTCTACATTGGGCTGCCCTTGAAAATGGCTCGGAAATTCCAACTGGTCCAACGGGCAGCGGCCAGGATGTTAACTGGGGCCCATTACAGAGAGAGGTCAACCCTCCTGTTTAAGGAGCTCCACTGGCTGCCGTTTATTTTCCGAGCCCAATTTAAGGTGCAGGTGCTTACCTACAAAGCCCTGAACGGTTTGGGACCACCCTACCTGCGTGACCGCATCACAGTCTACGAACCCACACGTTCACTCCGGTCATCAGGAGAGGCCCTGCTCGTGATCCCGCCCGCGTCGCAGGCGCGTTTGGTGGGGACGCGGGACAGGGCCTTCTCTGTGGTGGCCCCCCGCCTCTGGAATGCCCTCCCGAAAGATCTCAGACAGGCCCCTACCTTGGCAGTTTTCAGAAAGAACCTGAAAACCTGGCTGTTCCAACGTGCCTTCTCAGATTAGGAACCCCACTACCAAAGCCCAGAAGCACTTTAGTAGAGTCAAGATCACCCTCACCGCACATTGCACTTATATTTTAACCCCATATCCCTCCAACACTTCAGCACTTTTTAATCCTGTACCCTACTCCTGGCCGGCTCAGTTTTTAATAATGTCCTGTTGTATTGTTATTGCTATTGTTTTCTGCTTTAACTGTTTTATTTGCTATGTATTGTATTGCTGTATTGTGTTGGGCTCCGGCCTGTTGTAAGCCACATCGAATCCCTTGGGAGATGCTAGTGGGGTACAAATAAAGTTATAATAATATAATAATAATAATAGACGGGGTCCTAAACGGCATTCATCTTGGGTCAGTCCTGGTCCAGCTTGAGCTTGGCCCCAGGCGGTGGGGGATCCTCGAGTCGCCTCTTCCCCAGGCCTGGCATCCCTCCAAAGGCCCTTCTTCAGCGGTGTGGGCCGCAGGAGGCTTCCCGAGGAGGAGGAGCAAGACTACAAGGCCCAGCGTCCTTCGCCAGGCGGCGAGCGAAGGCGGGGCTCCTTTGGGCGCCGAAGCAGCAGGTAGGAGGGGCAGGCCGGGCCAAAGAGGCGGGCGGGCGAGCGGGCAGGCAGGCGGGCGGGCCCTCCTCTTGCCCGACCCGGCGCTTCGGAGGAAAGGCGAGCGGGGCTGCTTTGGGAAGAGGCGGGGAGCAGAAGGGGAAGGGTCCTGCCCTGCCAACGCCTGCAGGTGAGTCTTCCGGCTGGAGGGGAGGGAGGAGCTCCGCCCTGTCCCTGAAGGGCGCCCCTCGCGCAGGTCTCCCTCAGCCGGAGAGGAAAGGTGGCGCTGAGGTGGAGAAGAGAGCCGGGGGCCCTTCGCGCCCTGGAGCGCGCGCTCTCCAGGGTGGGAGCGCGCGCTCTCCAGGGTGGGAACGCGCGCTCTCCAGGGTGGGAGCGCGCGCACTCCAGGGTGACCCCTACCCTCAAGGGCTCCCCTCCCCCGCCTCCCCTCCCTCCCTTCCTCATGGCGCCCTGTGGACAGGCTCTAATCCTCCCCCTCCGCCCTCCACCCTGGTGACGTGGCTCAGTAATCGCCCCGCCGTCTGGCATGCCTGGGGTTTGCCATCGCGGGAGCCTCAAGGCAGGGAAAGTCCCAGAATGGACCTGTTTGAGGTAGTCAAAATATTTGGTATGGGGGGCGGAGAAGCTGGAAACCGAAGGAGTTTCTTGTTCCAGGATGAGTGAGGAAGAGTCATTTGGATGCCCTTGAACACCAGAGCATTCCATGTGTCGGAGACATACTGTTTTAACTGCATCATTTTGTGGCACAGTCATCCAGTTCTACTGGAAAAGCAGAGGTTAAACTGAGTTGTTGTAGGTTTTACCGGGCTATATAGCCATGTTCTAGAGCAGTGGTTCTCAACCTTCCTAATGCCGTGACCCCTTAATACAGTCCCTCATGTTGTGGTGACCCCCACGCTCTGGTCACATCCCGCCTTGACTACTGCAACGCTCTCTACGTGGGGCTGCCCTTGAAGACGGCCCGGAAGCTTCAGCTAGTCCAGCGCGCGGCAGCCATGTTACTAACAGGAGCGGGACGCAGGGAGCACACAACGCCTTGTTGTTCCAGCTCCACTGGCTGCCGATCTGCTACCGGGCCCAATTTAAGGTGCTGGTGTTATCCTACAAAGCCCTAAACGGTTCCGGCCCAAAATACCTCGGACCGCATCTCGGCCTATGAGCCCACGAGGGCCTTGAGATCGTCTGGGGAGGCCCTTCTCTCGATCCCGCCTGCCTCACAGGCACGTCTGGCGGGGACGAGAGAGAGGGCCTTCTCGGTGGTGGCCCCCCGGCTGTGGAACACCCTCCCTGTTGACATCAGACAGGCGCCCTCCCTTATGGCTTTCCGTAAGAGCCTAAAGACCTGGCTATTTGAGAAGGCATTTAACTGAGTGCTACATTAACTGGTAATGACAACTGGAACAGAATATGGATTATGAGATTGGCTATGATTCTATGTTGTGACGGTGCGGATTAGTTAGTGTAATTCAGATTAGTGTGTAATATTGATATGTTGATTTCTTGTGCTTTATTGTAAACTGTTTTATATGTTGTACACTGCCGCGAGTCGCCCTAGGGCTGAGAGCGGCGGTCAACAAATGCAGCAAATAAATAAATAAATAAATAAATAACATTGTTTTTGTTGCTACTTCATAACAGTCCTTTTACTACTGTTATAAATCATAATGTAAATATCAGATATGCAAGATGTATTTTCATTCACTGGACCAAACTGGGCACAAATACCCAATGCAACCACGTGTAAATGCTAGTGGGGTTGGGAGAGGATTGATTTTGTAATTTGGGAGTTGTAGTTGCTGGGATTTATAGTTCACCTATAATCAAAGAGCATTCTGAACTCCACCAGCGATGGATTTGAACCTAATTTGCCACACAGAACTCCCATGACCAACGGAAAATACTGGAAGGGTTTGGTGGGTATTGACCTTGAGTTTTGGAGTTGTAGTTCACCTACTTCCAGAGAGCACTGTGGACTCAAACAATGGTGGATCTGGACCAAACTTGGTACAAATACTCAATATGCCCAAATGTGAACACTGGTGGAGTTGGGGAAAATAGTTGTTAGGATTTATAGTTCATTACAATCAAAGAACATTCCGAACTCCACCAACGATAGAATTGGCTCAAACTTCCCACATGGAATCCCCATGACCATCAGAAAATACTGTGTTTCCTGATGGTCTTTGGTGACCCCTCTGACACCCCTTCGCGACCCCCTCAGGGGTCCCAACCCCCAGGTTGAGAAACACTGTTCTAGAGGCATTTTCTCCTGACGTTTCGCCTGCATCTATGGCAAGCAGTTTTTTCTTCTTTTTTCATTTTTTTTTTTGTGTGTGGGGGAGATTCTGTATGGTTTAGGGCACACATTTCTCAATACTGCACTGCATTTTTAATGGGAAGAGGTGGGAGTGTTAGGGGACTGATGAGGGGCCTCAGCACCTAGAAGAGTATTGTCGAAGGCTTTCATGGCCGGAATCACTGGGTTGTTGTAGGTTTTTTCGGGTTATATGGCCATGTTCTAGAGGCATTCTCTCCTGACGTTTCACCTGCATCTATGACAAGCATCCTCAGAGGTAGTGAGGTCTGTTGGAAGTAGGAAAACGGATTTATATATCTATGGAATGACAAGGATGGGACAAAGGACTTTTGTCTGCTGGAGCTAGGCATGAATGTTTCAACTGACCACCTTGATTAGCATTTAATTGCTTGGAAGTGCCTGGGGGAATCTTTTGTTGAGAGGTGATTTGATGTGCCTGATTGTTTACTCTCTGTTGTTTTGCTGTTGTAATTTTAGAGTTTTTTAATACTGGTAGCCAGATTTTGTTCATTTTCATGGTTTCCTCCTTTTTGTTGAAATTGTCCTCATCATCATCATCATTTAATAACTTATTAATCGCCCTCCATCTGAGAATGCTCTAGGCGATTTACAGCTAAATTGTAAAAGATAAAATACATACATACAAAAATTAAAAATTAACAGAGATCGAATGCTCTAGTAAAAAGCCAGGTCTTAAGTGCTAGAGTAAAAGGCCCTAAGTCACGCATGGCTCTCATGTAGGGCGGCAAGGAATTCCACAAGGCAGGGGCAGAAATAGAAAAAGCCCTGCGTCTGGTCCTTTCCAAGTGCACTTCTCTAGGACCCAGTGTATAGAGTAAGTCACGTTGGGCTGGTCGTTGCAACCTCCGATGATGGGAGAAGGAGAGACGGTCCCTAAGGTACGATGGACCCTGGCCGTAAAGAGTTTTAAAGGTCAGAACTAGCATCTTATACAGGCCACGGTACTCAGTTGGAAGCCAATGTAAATGTTGCAGCACTGGTGTTATATGGCATTTCATGGGCGTTCTTGTGAGTAACCTGGCTGCCGCATTCTGAACAATACGGAGCTTTCGGGTCGTAGACATCGGAAGGCCAACATACAGGGCGTTGCAATAGTCCAGCCTAGACGTGACCGTGGCATGGATGACAGTTGCCAGAGCCTCGTCAGATAGGTAGGGTGCCAATTGCCTCGCTTGTCGTAGATGGAAAAAGGCCTGTTTGCTGGCAGCAGCGACCTGAGCTTCCATTGTCAGCTGTGAATCCAAAACGACACCCAAGCTCTTAACGGTAGGCGAAGGAGATAGGGCAGCACCATCGAAGGTGGGTAGCAAATGGGTCAGACCAATCAAGCGGCCATGCCAGAGAATCTCAGTCTTCGCCGGATTCACCTTCAGTCTGCTAGCATGTAGCCAGTTCGACACAGCCTCCAGACATAAGGTGAAATTGTGTGGAATTGACGTTGCTCCAGGCTCCAGGCGCAGAAGGAGTTGGGTATCATCCGCATATTGGTAGCAGTCCAGGCCGAAACTCCGAGCCAAACTAGCAAGGGGTCTAACGTAGATGTTGAAGAGAAGAGGAGAGAGAATTGCACCTTGGGGGACCCCACATAGGAGGGGGGATCTATCGGAGACTTGATCCATGTACTCCACGCGTTGACTCCGGTTCCGGAGAAATGAGTTGAACCAATTGAGGGCCTGACCGCGAACTCCGGACATGGCAAGACGGTGAATCATTAGATCGTAGTCGACGGTGTCAAACGCTGCGGTAAGGTCGAGAAGTACCAGTAGCGCGGATCCACCGTTGTCAGACTGGCGACGGAGTTCATCCGTAATGGCAACCAGGACTGTCTCCGTCCCATGATGGATTTCAATGGCTTCTCTGTGTAGTCTGACATGGTGGTTGTGAGAGTGGTCCAGCATTTCTGTGTTCTCAAATAATATGCTGTGTCCAGGTTGGTTCATCAGGTGCTCTGCTATGGCTGACTTCTCTGGTTGAAGTAGTCTGCAGTGCCTTTCATGTTCCTTGATTCGTGTTTGGGCAAAGCTGCTTTTGGTGGTCCCTATGTAGACTTGTCCACAGCTGCATGGTACACGGTAGACTCTTGCAGAGGTGAGAGGATCCCTCTTGTCCTTTGCTGAACGAAGCATTTGTTGGATTTTCTTGGTGGGTCTGTAGATAGTTTGTATGTTGTGTTTCCTCATCAGCTTCCCTATGCGGTCAGTGGTTCCTTTGATGTATGGCAGGAACACTTTTCCTCTGGGTGGATCTTCATCTTTACTCTCGTGGCTCGTTCTTGGTCTTGCAGCTCTTCTGATGTCTCTCCATCCTCTATCTACATCAGTGGTTCTCAACCTGTGGGTCGGGACCCCTGGAGGGGTCATGAGGGAGTATCAGAAGGGTCACTAAAGACCACCAGAAAACACAGTATTTTCTGTTGGTCATGGGGGTTCTATGTGGGAAGTTTGGCCCAATTCTGTCAATTCTGTCAGTGCCCTTGAATCAGAGGTTTCCTAATATTTCCATGTGACATACTTTCTAGACATGCATCATTTCGCGACACAGTCATCCAGTTTTACAGGAAAAGCAGAGGTTAAACCAACCCCTCAGAAGAGATACATGCATACATACAATGTATGGGGACACAACGTATCTCATGAAAATGTTTCATCTATATATATAAAAATGCTCTGTGCATAATGAGTACCTTAAAAACAAAAGAACCAATGAACAAAATCACACCAGATTTGGCAACATCTCACAACACAAGGAGTGACCATCACTCAAAAATTATGATTTTGTCATTTGGGAGTTGTAGTTGCTGGGATTTATAATTCACCTACAATCAAAGAGCA